CCCTAGTCGCCGCCGCCAGGGAGGTTTTTAGGGTTTCGTGGAAAAACCTTAGATTTGTCTACTTACTACCTTAGATTTGTCTACTTACTACTTAGATTTGTCTACGCGGGGGGAGAAAAGACTAAAATGTTCATGAATGTAAAGGTGTTCACATTAAAAAAGATTATGATACAAAATTGTTTGTGAATTTTCAAAAAGATCATTTTTTGAAATATTTTGAAAAAATGTCCATTTTTTTAATAAAAAGCAACCAGAATAACAAAAAAAAACTAGACAACAACCCGAATGGAAACCAAATTAACAAACACAAAAATAGAAGAAGAAAAAAACTTATCTGAAAGCTTCACAAAACCTGCTGGAAGGAAATCTTTACATGAGCCGGCTTCAGATCGAAAACAAAAGGAGAAGAGTGTTCAATGTTGGCTCAGCGCCAAATAGGAAATACTACACGTGAAAGCTATCGTCAAGGGTGTAGTTATCTTCTCTTCATGCAGGCAGTTATTTTCACGTCGGGATGCACTAGAAGTAGAATTGAATGCTTGCATGGAAGGTTTGTCATTTGCAATGCAGAGAAGTGATCTACCGTTGAGATAGAGATGGACTCTATTGTTGCAGTGCAATTGATTCAAGCCAAAGAAGTTGATCGTTCGGACTACTCGTCGCTTATTAGAGAGATTAAATATCTTATGTCCCTCTGTAATTATTGTATTACTCATGTAAATCATAGCCAAAATAAGATTAGCAATAGCATAGCTAAATTTGCTCGTTTAGAAGGTAGAACCATGACTTGTTTTGGTCCAGGTCCTTCCGTTGCTATGAAGCTAGCTACAATTGATCGTAAGGATCTTATGAGTTGAGTAATACAGTATTTCACCTGGAAAAAAAAACTATCGTCGGCTTGAGCTGTCAACAAGCAGCTCCCAAGGCCCAAAACAATAGTCTGCTCCACTAGTAGAAAAAGAGGCTTCCGTCCAGCCCCATTAGTCGCGAAACTGTAGGAACCGCGACTAATGAAGTCTTTAGTCGCGGTTCGGCAGATGAACCGCGACCAAATGCCTGGGCCCAGGGCGCTCGCGGGCTTTAGTCGCGGTTGGCCAGGCCAACCGCGACTAAAGGTGCCCAAAGGCCTTTAGTCGCGGTTGGCCAGGCCAACCGCGACTAAAGCTCCTCCCTTTTAGTCGCGGTTTGTGGCACGAACCGGAACTAATGGGGTTGAGACCTTTAGTCCCGGTTCGTGCCACGAACCGGTACTAAAGGTCCCATTTTCAAACTCTACCCCCCCCCGGGATCGCCTTTTCAGTTTTAAAAAAAATAAAAGAAAATAATGGAAATGTCAAAAAAATAAAAGAAAATAAGTTTCTCATGTGATATGTGGTCTAGTTGTTGGGAAAATTTGCAAATGTGAATTTTGACTTTATTTGCAAAATCTCTCTGAAATTTGTAAAAATGGGCATAACTTTTGCATACTAACTCGGATGAAAAAGTTTTTTATATGAAAAATCATCTACTCGAAAAGTTACATCCAAATTTAACAGGGGGAACCCCGTTAAAAATTTAGTAACACTAATATTCTAGAATAATCCAACCGCGACTAAAGGTGCCCAAAGGCCTTTAGTCGCGGTTGGCCAGGCCAACCGCGACTAAAGCTCCTCCCTTTTAGTCGCGGTTTGTGGCACGAACCGGAACTAATGGGGTTGAGACCTTTAGTCCCGGTTCGTGCCACGAACCGGTACTAAAGGTCCCATTTTCAAACTCTACCCCCCCCGGGATCGCCTTTTCAGTTTTAAAAAAAATAAAAGAAAATAATGGAAATGTCAAAAAAATAAAAGAAAATAAGTTTCTCATGTGATATGTGGTCTAGTTGTTGGGAAAATTTGCAAATGTGAATTTTGACTTTATTTGCAAAATCTCTCTGAAATTTGTAAAAATGGGCATAACTTTTGCATACTAACTCGGATGAAAAAGTTTTTATATGAAAAATCATCTACTCGAAAAGTTACATCCAAATTTAACAGGGGGAACCCCGTTAAACATTTAGTAACACTAATATTCTAGAATAATCCAACCGCGACTAAAGGTGCCCAAAGGCCTTTAGTCGCGGTTGGCCAGGCCAACCGCGACTAAAGCTCCTCCCTTTTAGTCGCGGTTTGTGGCACGAACCGGAACTAATGGGGTTGAGACCTTTAGTCCCGGTTCGTGCCACGAACCGGTACTAAAGGTCCCATTTTCAAACTCTACCCCCCCCCCCCGGGATCGCCTTTTCAGTTTTAAAAAAAATAAAAGAAAATAATGGAAATGTCAAAAAAAATAAAAGAAAATAAGTTTCTCATGTGATATGTGGTCTAGTTGGAAAATTTGCAAATGTGAATTTTGACTTTATTTGCAAAATCTCTCTGAAATTTGTAAAAATGGGCATAACTTTTGCATACTAACTCGGATGAAAAAGTTTTTCATATGAAAAATCATCTACTCGAAAAGTTACATCCAAATTTAACAGGGGGAACCCCGTTAAACATTTAGTAACACTAATATTCTAGAATAATCCAACCGCGACTAAAGGTGCCCAAAGGCCTTTAGTCGCGGTTGGCCAGGCCAACCGCGACTAAAGCTCCTCCCTTTTAGTCGCGGTTTGTGGCATGAACCGGAACTAATGGGGTTGAGACCTTTAGTCCCGGTTCGTGCCACGAACCGGTACTAAAGGTCCCATTTTCAAACTCTACCCCCCCCCCTGGGATCGCCTTTTCAGTTTTAAAAAAATAAAAGAAAATAATGGAAATGTCAAAAAAATAAAAGAAAATAAGTTTCTCATGTGATATGTGGTCTAGTTGTTGGGAAAATTTGCAAATGTGAATTTTGACTTTATTTGCAAAATCTCTCTGAAATTTGTAAAAATGGGCATAACTTTTGCATACTAACTCGGATGAAAAAGTTTTTTATATGAAAAATCATCTACTCGAAAAGTTACATCCAAATTTAACAGGGGGAACCCCGTTAAACATTTAGTAACACTAATATTCTAGAATAATCCAACCGCGACTAAAGGTGCCCAAAGGCCTTTAGTCGCGGTTGGCCAGGCCAACCGCGACTAAAGCTCCTCTCTTTTAGTCGCGGTTTGTGGCACGAACCGGAACTAATGGGGTTGAGACCTTTAGTCCCGGTTCGTGCCACGAACCGGTACTAAAGGTCCCATTTTCAAACTCTACCCCCCCCCC